ATGGCCTTTTCAGTCTATCCTTTTTGGCCTCTCTCCAGCCTTTAGCACTGTTGACCATCCCATCCTTTGGGCTTTCCTCCTGCCTGAGGTCTCCTTGGTCTACTCTGCTGGTTTCTCTTTCCACCTGCTAACCCCGGATTCTCCTCCCTACAGGCTTTCTCTTCTTGATCTCATCAGCTCCTTTGTCTCTGAAGGTGACTAACTGGCTTTATGTCCCTCCTGGCACATTGCAAACTGCCCGCCCACCATCTTTTCCTGGTTGTCCCAAAGACTCCTCAAACTCAACATTTTCTAAACAGATTCCCTTCTTTCCCCGCAAATGCATCCCTCCACCAAACTTACCAGTTCTCATGGATGGTACCACCACCTTCCCAGCTTCCCAGGTTGACAACTTTGGCCTCTTCCCTTTCCCATAACCCCGTAAGTCTGGCTACTTCTGCCTCCACAGCTCCTCCTCACCTCCACTCACACAGCCCTCTCCCTAACCTATCATCACCTGGGTATCTGTAATAGCATCCAAGGTGATCTCCCTGCCTCCAGCCTCATCCCTCTTCAATCTGTCCTCCGCACAGCAGCCAAACTGCCCTTAAAGCTCAAACGTGACCACATTTCTTATGTAAATGTCTTTAGTGGCTCCTCTCTAAGCATATTAAAAGCTCAGTGGCCAGCTGGCTCACACTTGATTTCTGGCTAGAAGAGCCTGCTAGCTCTTCCCCACACACATCCCATCATCCTCCCACCTTTGCATCCTTGAGACCCTTTGCCTTCCTCTAAACTCTGAGGTGCCATTTACTCCTGGGTCTTTCTTAATCCCCCAGTTTTAAATGCTCCCTCCTGGAAATTACATGTGTTTCCTAACTTGTGTACGCGTTCAATCAGCCCATTAGATTGTAAGTTCCTTGAGGGCACGGATAATTTTTGTCATTGTTCCCCGTGTCTGTTACATGGTAGGTGATTTTGAGAAAAAGGATTTCCTGAATTGTAGGTCTTAAGTGACTTACCGGGACCGGAAAGCTAGTACAAATGTTAAGCATGGGATCTGACCCAGGGAGGCTGGACTCCAAGGCCAGCACCGCACTGTGGGCCACTACTTTCAGTAGTGCTTCTTCCCCACTGCTAACCCTGGAAGGGCCTATCTTCCCCCCTTCTTGTCTTTCATTACTGAACCCTCCAGTGGTGTGGACTCTGTCCTAGCCTGCTACCAAGGCCATGCTCTCCGTGGTCACCAGTGGCTGTCTAGTGGTCGTATTTAAGGACCTGTAAGTCTCCTACCTCAGTGACCCCAAGTTCTCCTCTCACTCTGATGGCTCCTCAGTCAGTACCCTTCCACCCTTTCCTTCCTGGCCCTCTTCTCATCACCCTTTCTCTTGGTCATCTCATCTACCCTGATGGTCGTAACTGACGCCTCCAAGCAGATGGCTCCACATCCTTCTCAGGCTCACCCTCCATCTCCAGCCGCCTACTGGCACCAACACCGCAGACGAAACCTACCCATCGCTAATCACCTTTCCCCTTCCGGCTTCTTTACTCCTGCAGAAGCTAGCACAGCCTCCCGAATGCATGTCTCTGCTACCAGAGTAATCTCTCCCCCAAAACCACCGGCAGCTCCCCTTCTGCAATGAAAAGCTCCTTAGCTCAACATTCTCGGCCTCAGCAATCTGGCTCCAACCCACTTCCTTCCCAGACTTATTTCCCATGACGACTCCTTCCTGCATTCCTGGTACAGATGCAACTCCATGGAGTCTCCCCGAGTCTGTCTCCTGAAATCTGGGATTGCACCATCCTTCATTCTCAGACCATTCTAACCCTTCTTAAGCAATAGATCGTTTCCTATCATGTTTGTGTACATTTCACACATTCCCTTCACCAACTGGATTTTAATTTGAGGGCACAGACTTGTTTTTATCCAATGAGAAGTACTCAGAAAATGTGGGACTGAATTTTCCAACCTTTACTTGTTCATTAAAGACAAGAGCTCATTGATTCTACCTAAATACATGATGGCTGCTCTAGGGAAGGTTGGGAGGAGCTCTGACAGTGGCCGTACATGCCAAGCTCACTTTCAAACTGACACTGGCTGTAGGAACAGCTCAAAGTGAAAAGTTTTCGCCCACCTGCGCCTAAGGCTCCAGAAGCTCAAGTTTAAAAATCGGTGATTCTTAACAGCAGCCACATTTACATGGAAATCAAGATGGCCATCCCTTAAATGTCTGGTTAAACTAAGCCATGTATCCCTCAGAATTCTTTCTATGAAGAGTCAGCTTATCGGTCACTTTAGTCCAGGGATGGGGTGAGGGTGTTCTAAAGCCCAGGGAAGGAGCGCTAGCTGGGGAAGGGTTGGTGATCGCCAGTATGTCTGTCTGACCAAAGGGGGCTTTCCCCTGAACATTCCTGGGCACCACTGGTTCCTTGGTTGGGCTTCTCAAGAATAGCCCCATTGCTCCAATTCTGACATTCCATTAACCCAATCAAAGCGCTCACGGGTGCAAGATACAATGGATGCGTTAACGGTTCTTTTTCGAGTCAATCTTGTGAAACCACTGATGGTGTCTAAAATATGAAGAAATGGCCACTGTTCTTCCCCCCAGGTGATGGCAGTCCCAACCCCCTGCAGTGGCCTTTGCTGAGGAGGATGGACTTTTATCTGAAAACAGTAATAAAGACAGTAAGCTAAAAGACCAAAGGTTTGAGGAAGGAGGGTAGGGTGGGTCGGGCAGGGCTCAAAAGAACTCAGCAACAGCCCTCAGTGGTCCGGAAAGTGTCTGTTTAATAGCATCTCCATCCAGATACCTGCCTGCCTGGCCCAGCCCACCTGCCAGATCCCTCCCTCCCCACCACGATTCCTCAGCTCTCCTCCCAAAAGTAAGCAGCAGATGAAATACAATTTACAGTGTACAGCTTCTTGTCCCTACTCTTCAGAGCACCGGGCCTTGGACATCCCGTGACAACAAACTAGGACCGTAGGTGTGCCATCACCCATGCAATAAAGCAAGTTTATATACATTTAACATTTTCTGATATAAATTTAAATATTTTACAAAAAAAAGTTTCCATTAAAACATATAAAGTTCACTGAACATATTCCCCTAGCCCCACACGTCTCTCTTAAAAATATAAACGTTATTTGATTTTCAGGGTTAATGTGTTTGAATTGCACCACGGAGAAGGCACTTGTGTTGCAGGATGTCTCAAGCAAGTCCGCAGGGAAGCAGGTGCAGGAACTGTCTCCTCCTCTCCTCCTCTGGGCTTCGGCAGGTGCTCCAAGCCCTCGGGCGGCAAGGAGGGGGAGCGGAGGGAGCCGGGATCGTAGGACTGTCAAAAATCACAGGGGTCGGCCAGCTCTTCCTCTAGAATCAAACTGCTAATAAAAACCAATTCATTCACAGATTCAAACCGCTTTCATTCTCTCATAAATTACACAGTAAAAGGATGCCACTTTAATCAACAAACAAAAATACTACTGGACAGCGGGGTATTCAAACGGTTTGCGTCAATGGTGGGGAAAAGTCTGAGTTCACCCACGCCCGGGGAGAGGCGCAGGCGGGCAGAGTCCCAAGTGAGGAGGCCGCAGTCTACTGCTGGGACAGGAGTGCCGTCCGGTTGGCCTTCATCTTCTCCAGCCTCTTAACCAGGTGACTGTTGGTCATCTCCATCTCCTCAATCTTATCCAGGGCCGTCCGTAACTGTACAAAGAAACAGCAACGCTCAGGCGCCCATGGGCCACCAGCCACCCATGCCTAGATTCTGGTGGGTGTGGGAAAGGCCAAGCACCCCCCAGGAGAGAAAGCAGGAGGAAGAGTTCCCTCCTCTGCAAGTGCAGCGGGAGAGCTCTGTTGGGGAAAAAAAGCCCCAGCAAAGAGGGCCCATGACGGGATTCTAAAGGCTTTATCAGGGCTGAGAGGGGCACATGAGGGCAAGATTCCAGAAAGGCTGCCTCGAGTCAGTGTTTGAGCCCCGGCTCCCTGATTCACCCTTGGCTTCAGGAAGACGATTTTGGCAGGAGGAGGATTTGTGGAGAACAAGGAGGAGGGGAAGGCTCAGAAAGTCCTGAGTCCAGCTGGGAACTGTTGCTCAAGTACAGGTAAAAAGAATGCGTGGCCGAGAAAGAGACAGTGCGAGAGCTGTAGAGGGGCAGCAGAAAAGAGTGCTGCTTGCCACCTGACTGGTCACGGGAGGTGTGGGAAGGGCAGGGTCTGGCTCCAGGACTGGGAATGTAGCTTTCAGGAATGGTCTGGGGACACTCAACAGAAAAGGGGAGTCTGGGGAAGAACACTGCTTTCAAGAGAAGCCAATTCCATTTGGGGAGTGCTAAGCTAGAGATGCCACGGGACCTCTGGACGGACACGTCCAGCTGGAACAGGCGAAGAAGGGCTGGAAGTCAGGAGAGAGATGGATTCAGGCTGGATAAATGGATCTGGCCAACAAGAGCAACTTTCATGAGGGCATGACAAAACATTCAGGGCTCTGAAAACGGGGCCAAGGGCTCTGCTTGGGCTTTTGGCCTTCCCCAGGCCAGGCTGATGCTGGGGAAGGCAGGGCCATCACCTCGTCAGGTGTACCAACACTGGCCCATTCTGAGGGACCACTGCAGCCTATCAGGCTGACCCCACAAACAGCCAAGGGTCAGGGCACTCGACCAAATGACCTGTGAGATGTCCACCTCATTTGTCATCATGTGAATGATCAGCGTTCTGTCTCCCTTCCATCCCCTCCTCTCTCCCTCCCTCCCTCCCTCCCCTCCCACCATCCCAGAACACCACAGAATCTGGACCCGTGGGCCTCCTCAAATGCAGGCGCCACCCCTCGGGATCTCTGAAGCAAGTACCTCACGCTGAAGCTTCCTCTTGTCCGCTTTGAGCTCGTCCTCCACTTTCTCCGCGTTCTCAGCTGCACTCTTGTACCTGGCCACCTGCCCTTCCAGCCTCCCAATCTGTAAGCAGGAACCACCTGTGAAGCCGCTGTCTCCCAGCATGCCCCCCACCCTGCACCCCATGGAAAGTGGCTGGCGGCAGAACCAACTGGCACGGTGAGAAATCACTGGTGGAAACATCATGTAACCAGTACCTGAGTGATGTATCAAGCCCACAGTCCCTACCAGTGACTCATGAGTGCATTGGAAACAGGGCACTATTTATAAATCTAAAGCACCCCACACCCCCAGGATTCCAGCTGGACGGTCCTCAGGAGGCCGGGCCACTCCCACATTCACCTTTTGTGCTTATCCATCTCTTGGGGGCTGAGGTAACGTCACTCAAGGGGACAAAGAAGACAGAGTTTGAGTAAGAGCATAGACTTGTATCCCAAGGGATTTTCATTTGGACTGAGTAGGCTCTTGATTTTTTTTTCCCATAACACTTGTTAATTGGAGAAACTATGTTTGGAATCCTCCTATTGGCTTTAATAACCAGCCATGGAATTGATCCTGACAAATACTGAGGGGCTCAGGGGCATTGGGTGGTCCATTTCCAAGAAGACATTTGGTATAGCAGAGGAGGGTCTCTGGGCAAAGTCCTGACGGTTATAGGATTGAGAGCAGACCACAGCAAATGGGATGAAACTGCTCAACTGAGGGTCAGGACTGGGAGCCACGTAGGGACGAGGCGTGGGGGACGTGGAAGGCACAGGCTTGCGCTGGAGGCTGGGACAGATGGCATCCAAAATGATGGGATTCTGGGGAGGAAATACATCCAGAAAGCACTTACATTTTGCTCCATGGTCGCTATATCTTGTTCTGCTTTTGAAAGCTTGAATTTGTATTCACTAATTTGTCTGTTGGCATCTCCTGGAACGAAAGACAACAATGAGCACTCTGAACACTCCAAGCAGGCATCAGCCGCCAAGTCAGGGGGCAGGCAGCCGGCTGGTCTACCTCACAAGAGAGAGGCTCACTATCTCCCAGGGCTGTGGGCAGTACTGATGAGGCACCTACTGTGTGCCGGGCACTGTGCTGAGGCCTTCTCATGTACTAGCTCAGTCGGTCTTCAAAAGAACCCTGAGAGGGAAGGGCTGTAATTATTGCCATTTTACAGATGAGGCAGACAAAGGCAAAGTGACTTGCCCCAGGTTCTACAGCTAGAAAGTGCCTGAGGCCGAATTTGAACTCAGGCCTAGCCCTCTCTGCATGGTGGTAGGTGGTACCTTCTATCGGCCCACAATAGAAAACCAGGGCATCTCCACCTCCTTCTTTGATTCACATACACACAAAGAAAGATTCCAACCCCACATGCTAAAAATGGCCAGTTTCATAGGTGGTGTTTGCCTCCATGGCAAGGTGCAGAGGAATAAAGCAGAGGATGGTGTGCGTGTGCATGTGCATGTGCATGTACATGTGCATGTACTTGTGTGTGAGTTGGGGGGGGAGATTTCTGGGGAGAAATGATTCAGGAGGCAGGTATCCACGCAAGCACAGTGGACCTGATGTTCCTGAGCACAGACCACAAGCCTGGGGCCATGTCTCTGGATAGCCGGCTGAGAGAGTTCTCTCTCCCAAAAGCAAAACAGATGATTATTTTTGACTCATCTTAATGATCATTTCATTCTTTAAAGAAATTCTAATTCTGGATTTGATTCTCACTACTGAAAAGGAAAGCAGCGGGTGGTGGGCCAATTTCCAAGGGTTCAGACAAAGAAGAGCTAGCAACCCGGGGCCTGAGGGGTCACTACAGGTCAATCCAGCCCAGGGACACCCTCAAAAATACAGTTCTTAAGACACAAGTGAAACAAGTTTTGATGAGCCCAAAGGGGGTAGGGGTCCAAGGAAGCTGACCTGGATGCCAAGGGAACCCCACAACCAGCTTCGATTTTTAGACACTTGTCATGACTTGGACAACAGCACAGATGCGCTTATCCACTCTGAAGAGAACACAAAGCTGGGAGCAAGGGCCAGCACCTGAACGAGAGAGGACCTCTGCAGGCTGAGTCACCGGCATAAATCCAATGAAATGAAGTTTAAAGGGCCTTAGGTTAAAAAGATGGGCCTTGTTAAAGTGAGATGGGGGGGAGGCAGTGTTGTGGTGGTAAAGCCTGGCGACCAAAGAGCTGAATGAGGCTGATTAAAAGACTTCTCTGGCCAGGTCCTGCCTCAGGGTCTGAGCCTGTGGCCTGGCCCCCAGAGATGATGTCAGGTCGCTCTGAAAGCCTTAGTTAAAGGAGGAGGAAGAGACACAAACATTGACCTTTGTGGTGACCTCTGTGGGATTAGGAAGGACTATCTGCTACTAGTTCAGAGATCCCTCTGAGGACAAAGGACTGCTCTGCTCTGGGGGTGGTTATTCCCTTTTTGAATTTTATGGTCTTCTCCAAGTCAAATGAATTTCAAGTGTTTCTGAATGTTCAGATAAAATAATAATTTTCCTGACATCAGCAAACATCTGGCAGTTAAAAATATAACTTTATGCAAAATGGATAATTTTGATTACGTTAAATTCAAAAGTTTTTGCACAAACAAAGCCAATGCAAGCAAGATTAGGAGGGAAGCAGAAAACTGGGAAAGAATTTTTACCAACAGTCTCTCTGATAAAGGCCTCATTTCTAAAATATATAGAGAACTAAGTCAAACTTATAAGAATACAAATCATTCCCCAATTGATAAACCGTCAAAGGATACGATCAGGCAGTTCTCAGATGCAGAAATTAAAGCCATCTATAGTAATGAAAAAATGCTCTAAATCACTACTGACTAGAGAAATGCAAATTAAAACAACTCTGAGGTACCACATCAGACCTATCAGATTGGCCAACATGACAAAACAGGAAAATGATCAATGTTGGAGAAGATGTGGGAAAATTGGAACACTAATGCATTGTTGGTGGAATTATGAAATGATCCAACCATTTTGGAGAGCAATTTGGAACTATGCCCAAAGGGCTATAAAAATGTGCATACCCTTTGACCCAGCAATAGCACTTCTAAGGCTGTAACCCAGAGAGATCATACAAACAGGAAAAGGACCCACATGTACAAAAATATTTAATAGCAGCTCTTTCTGTGGTGGCAAAGAATTGGAAATTGAGAGGATGCCCATCAACTGGGGAATGGCTGAGCAAGTTGTGGTATATGAACGTAATGGAATACTATTGTGCTAAAAGAAATGATGAACAGGCTGACTTCAGAAAAACCCGGAAGGACTTGTATGGTCTGATGCTGAGTGAAGTGAGCAGAACCAAGAGAGCATTGTACACAATAATAGCCATGTTGTGTGATGACTAATATTGATAAATTTAACCCTTCCCAGCAATACAAGGATCTAAGACATCTCCAAAGACCTCATGATGGAAAATGCCATCCACATCCAAAGAAAGAACTATGGAAGTTGAATTGCTATTTTTTTTCTCTTCTGTTGAGTTTTGTTTCCTCTTTCTGGTGGTTCCTCCCATTGGTTCTAATTTTTACTTACAGCATCACTAATGTGAAAATATGTTTAATAGGAATGTATATGTATAGCCTATATCAGATTGTGCACCATCTTGGGGAGGGTGGTGGGGAGGAAGGGGGAGAAAAATTTTAAACTCAACAGCATATGGAAGTGATTGTTGATAAATCAAAATAAATTAATAAAAAAAAGAAAAAGAAAAAAAAAAGAAAAATATATTGATTTAAAAAAAAACGTGTATACCCTTAGACCCAGCAATAGCACTTTCTGGGCTGTATCCCAAAGAGATCATACAAATAGGAAAAGGAACCACATGTACAAAAATATTTATAGCAGCTCTTTTTGTGGTGGCAAAGAATTCATCAATTGGGGAATAGCTGAACAAGTTGTGGTATATGAATATGATGGAATACTACTGTGCTATAAGAAATGATGAACAGGTAGCCTTCAGAAAAACATGGAAAGACTTGTATGGATTAACATTAAGTGAAGGGAGCAGAACCAGGAGAATGCTGTACACAGTAACAGCCATGTGGTGTGATGACTAACTTTGATAGACTTAGCCCTTCTCAGCAATGCAAGGATCTAAGACATATCCAAAAGTCTCATGATGGAAAATGCTATCCATATCCAAAGAACGAATTATGGGGTTTGAATGCAGACTGAAGCATGCTATTTGCTCTTTTTTTTTCTTCTGTTTTGTTTTGTTTCCTCTTTCTCATGGTTCCTCCTATTGGTTCTAATTCTTCTTTATAACATTACCAATGTGAAAATATGTTTAATAGAAATGTACACAGAGAGCCTATATCAGAGTGCACACTGTCTTGGGGAGGGAGGGGGAGAAAAATTTAAAATTCAAAAGTGTATGGAAGTGATTGTTGAAAACTAAAATTAAATTAATAAAAAAAGAAAAATATATAATTTTTAAGAAAAGAACCCTATCTGAGGATTTTTGTGGCCTCTGAAGTTCAATGTGTGACATGACAGCCAAGCGGGTAAGAGGTCAGGCTTCCTGGGACAGGCAGAGGGGCATCCTGCAATATTCTGCCCTGCTCAGACCACAGCAGGGTTCTGCTCTGTGTACTATCATGTAAGGTCACTGAGAGGCTGAAGGGCAACCAGGGTCCTGGGGGGTTGTGACAGTTGTCCCTGTGTGGGAAGGGCTGTCATGGAGTTTTCCTTGATAATTTCTTGAAAGATGATGTCTAGGCTCTTTTTTTTTTTTTTATCATGGCTTTCAGGTAGTCTAATAATTTTAAAATTCTCCCTCCTTGGATCTATTTTCCAGGTCAGTTGTTTTTCCAGTGAGATATTTCACACTGTCTTCTATTTTTTCATTCTTTTGGTTTTGTTTTACAATTTCTTGATTTCTCATAAAGTCACTAACTTCCACTTGCTCCATTCTAATTTTTAAGGAAATATTTTCTTCAGTGAGCTTTTGGACTTCCTTTTCCATTTGGTCAATTTTGCTTTTGAAGGCATTCTTCTCCTCATTAGCTTTTTGGACCTCTTTTGAGATTTGGGTTAGGCTATTTTTTAAGGTGTTATTTTCTTCAGTATTTTTGAGGTCTCCTTTAGCAAGCTGTTGACTTGTTTTTCATGATTTTCTTGCATCACTCTCATTTCTCTTCCCAGTTTTTCCTCTACTTCTCTTACTTGCTTCTCAAAATCCTTTTTGAGCTCTTCCATGGCCTACAACCAAATCATATTTTTCTCGGAGGCTTTGGATGTAGGAGCTTTTGACTTTGTCTTCTGGTTATATGTTTTGATCTTCTTTGTCAACAAAGTAAGATTCTATGGTCTGACTTTTTTTTTGCATAGTTTGCTCATGATCCCAGTCAATTACTTAAGTTTTAAACTCTTTGTTAAGGTAGGGGTCTGCTTCCAGTATGGAGAATGTACTGTCCCAAGCTTTGGGGGTTTTGTGCAGCTGTTTTCAGAGATACTTCTAGGGACCAGTAAGTTTTCAGTTCTTCCAAGGTGGTATGATCAAGGGCGAGGTGTTTACTCTTTTCCTGGCCTAGGCTCTGGTCCATGAGTGACCACAAGCACTCTTTTCTGCCTTGGAACTGTGAGGAGGATTCCCTCTCTACCACCACCACAAACTCCACCTCGCCAGGGCTCCTCCTCACCCCAGGACTGCCACCCAGAACTGTGACCCAGATCCAAGCACAGGCAAAAAGCAAGAGAATCTTGCACCAGCAGAGAGATCCCTGCAATCTCCTTCTGATCAGCCACCCAATTCCCCTCAATCTGTGGGCCAGGAGCTCCAGAAGCAGCCGCCGCCTCAGGGCTATGCCAGAACTGAGGCCAGATCGAGGCCCTCTCTCACTGTGGTCAGACAGACCTTTCCTACTGACCGTCTAAGTTTTCTTTGGTATATGTGGGTTGAGAAGTCTGGAAACCACCACAGCTTCCCTTGATTCAATACCCTAAGGACTGCTCCAGGTTCACTGAGGCCTGTTCTTTGCCTGCACAGCCCACACTGAATTGTGCTCCTCTCCCAGCCCGGCACAATAGATCTTTCCAATCAACCATCCGGGTTTTCTTGGGTTGGAAATTTTATTTCACTCTGTCTTTTTGTGGGTTCTGCTGCTCTTGAATTTGTTTAGAGCCATTTTTTACAGGTATTTGGAGGGGTTTGGGGGAGAGCTCAAGCAAGTCACTGCTTTTACTCCACCATCTTGGCCAGGGCTGTCATGGAAGAGAAGGAAGACCACCCTTGTCCTGACTGACTCCAGAGGACAGAAATGGGGAGCCAAGTGAGGGACTACCTAGAGGCTGGATGAGGTAAAATTCCCCACCACCACCAGGGGGAGGGAGAGAGGGGGGTATATCTAGGTATGTTGGTGTGCATGTACATGGGTTTAGGTCAGGCGTAGGGAACCTGCAGCCTTGAGACCACATGTGGCCCTCTAAGTGCTCAAGGGTGGCCCTTGGACTGAATCGAAATCTTCATAAAAGAATTTGTTCTGAAAAACTGGACTCAGTCAAAAGGCTGCACCCAAGGACCTAAAAGGCCACATGTGGCCTCGAGGCCGCAGGTTCCCCATCTCTGCTCTAGTTTCTCACCTCAACATAGGGAGGGGAATCTTTAATAAAATCAAAAGAAGGAAATGGGCCGGCTTTCCCTGACTACCTCCTTCAGCCACCACCACCTTCAAAAGGAATACAGGCACCACTGTGCCTACTGTAAACTGATGATGAAAAGCCATTCAATTAGGGAAGAGCCCTGTGGACTCCTGAGAGGTGGGACTGGACAGGCCTCCAACAGAGCCCTTCCCAAGGAGAACTCAACTTGCAGGCTTTCCTAGGGCTGATGAGAAGCTCCTGACGGCCCCTCTGCAGCTCACCCTGCGCTGAGGGCCTCATGAATGAAAACCCTAACAACACACCCGGGAGATCCAGTGGAGAAAGAGCCTGCGGATGCCCCATGACGTCCATCTGGACACACGAGAGGGAGGGACGCAGGCCGCTCTGAGGTGGACTATCCCGCCCCATGCCAACTCTGGTCTGATACGTACTCTGCATCTCAATGAACTGCAGGTCTGAGCCGTTCTCCAGTCCCCCAGGGTCTCCAAACATGCCGTCATGCCGGGAGCACTTCTGTCTTTCTTCTTCCAGCTGCAGCTTCAGCTTTTTGATCTGAAATCAGGACAGACAGACATCATAATACAAGAGCACGCCGCCACCGAGCTTTCTATGCAAACCACCAGGCTGGCTCTGGGAGGGCTGGGCCGAGGGGCAGGGTGCAAAGCACACAGCCTGGCCAAGAAGCACCCAGAGCATCTTCTCCAAAAGGCAAAGCCGCCTCACGTTACAATCTGTGTCCTTTCTGAAGGGAGGGGAGCCAGTTAAAAAAAAGACCTGTCTTCATTTTTAGGGCTGATGTGGGTGTTCTAATCATAAATGTTCTCCACCTCAACAGCACCTTCACAGCGAGACACGCTGCTGAGCTCGGCCGGAAGCCCCTCCTCAGAAGGCGCGTCTGGCAGCAGATGCTCAGAGTGGTTCCAGGCTGGCTCTGGGACTGGCTTCCTCACTCATCATAAATTTAACAGTGGTGGATCCAGCTCCTGGACACACGACTCGGGGACTTTTTAAGTGCCTAAAGCCCAGACTCCGAGATGAATGAAGACCTATGCAACCTCTCTCAATGCAAGCCGCCTTTTTGAGCATCTTTGTGAGTGTGTGTAAGCCTGAGAGCCCGACCCAGGGAGGGCTGCCCCCGCCACCCTGTCTGGGAGAGGGAGCTCCTGAAGAGGCCCAGGGCACACTGCTCAGGGCCAACGAGTTTGCAGCGGGGATGGCTAAGCCTGTCTTACAAAGTACAGACAGGAAAAAAGATGCCCATTTCTGATTAATCTTAGAAGGGAAATTAAAGAGGAAAGCCATGACCATCCAAAGAAAATACCGCCTTGCTTTATTTTCCCAACTTCATAGTCCAGGAACAGTAGAGATGTTCTGCAATACAGGCCCTTGGGGGATCTGGCCCAACCCCCACCTTAGACAATGGGGAGACAAAGGCCTCAGGGGTTCTAGGGACTTGTGACCTTGGGTCACACAAGTCCAAGTTTGGTGGAGCTGAGCTCTGAACCTGGGCCCCAGGACACTTTCCTCTCCTTATCATACATCTGTGCCATTTAGACAACAGAAAGGACTTGGTCTTTACCTGGGACAGCAGCTCTTCTTTTTCTCCAGCAAGTTTTCGTAGCCTTACATCTAAGACAAACCAAAAAAACAAGAAAGAAAGAAGGTGAAATTTTAATTATTTGAATTATTTTTTAGTAAATGATAATGCTTAGAATTCACGGCTAATTACAACACACCCTCTTGAGCACATTTAAAGAAACAGTGGGAATACAAAAAGAAATAAAAAGTCTATTTATGAAAGACGCCAAGCACTTATCAAATCTTCGCTCCTATTTCCACACCACAGACAGAACTTCCCTAAGACCCAGCAGAATCCTAAGGTCAGGGATTTTTCATTTTAAAGCCAACAGAAAATATAAAAGTGCCCATTTAAAACTGGTATTGCCTCATCAGAAGGAAGAAGGTTAACCCAATAACCCCAGTGCTGCCAATTTCCAAAGGAAACAGGCTCTAAAACCTCAGTTGGAATCAGACACACGAGAGCCTGGGGCCTCTCACTGGGGGTAAGCAACAGTGCCACGGGCAGCAGGGAATAGGAGCAGTGTGAGGGGGCCTTCAGAGGTCGGGTCCAGCCCCCCTCATCTGACCGGCATGGAAGTTGCAGGGCATCCCGCCCACCAACCAGATGCTCGCTCGTGCCCCAGAATACTGGGAAGAACAAGACAGGAGGCAGAGGGCTAGCAAGAACTGTTCCCCGGTGCCTGACTGGCCCCTGCCACAGGCTGTCCATGCCAGCCACAGGCGTGCCAAAATCCAAACTCCTCTTTGGTGACAGCAGCCTGGTGACCCTTGGCCAGCGGGCATCGTGCCCAGGGCATCTTTCCTACAAAGTATCAGACCTGCACAGCGGCCTCTTTTCCCTCCTTACCTACTCCTACATGGTTCTAATTTGTGGCTGATCACTACTCTTCTGTCTAATCATGCAACTGTGGTCAAAGGCTCCCTTCAATTAATTTTACCTGGCTGCACCTCCCACCTACCACGGTCCCTGCCAAGCATCTCTTGTTCCCCTATGAAGACTCCTAAAAGAAACTCAGAACTTCTTTGAAAAAAATGAATGAGGGAATCTCTTTGCGCTCTGTGTTAGTCTGTGTCGATATTCCCTTTTAGATATCCTACTCTGGGCAGATGGGCCTCAGTCCTATCAATTATGATCGCTTCATACTTAGAAGAGCTTATCTGGGATCAAAAGATTAATAAAAAAATTAAAACATCTGCAACAGGCACAGAGAAGTGAAATACTCTGCTGAGGAGGAAGTCTCAAACGCACGGGGCAAGGCTCCTGCTGCTCCTACAGACAGCACGCCCTTTGCTCACTCTTTTCCAAAAACTGTGTGGACGCCTAACCCACTTGTGTTCAGCTTCCCACTTGTACATCATTCAGACACAGGCCCTGGACCATCTTCTCTGAGACACGGTCAAGCACCTTTCTGATTCCATTCCGGGCCGTGGTCCGGAAGAGCCACAGACCCCACAAACCCATGAGCAGGCAGCGGAGACCCGACTCCCAGTGGCATTTGGGCTCACTCTTACCTAGGGGCCCCTCCCCTGCGGATTCCAAGACCTGAGCTGCTTCCTGAGATACCACGGTGATGGCGCCCACCACAGGCTCATGACTGACATCCCCATTTGGAGTGCCATCGGGGATTATAACTAAACCATGCTTCTGAAAGACAAAAAAACCATCACAAATGAGAACACACAAGGAAATCCAATGTTTGGTGACACAGCCGCCCAATGGAGACCCCAGCCTGGACGCGTGCGAGGGCCAGTCAGGCATGGAGGTGGCTCTCGAGCCCCTGGCCCCCTCAGGGAGTGCTGGGGGGACGACTGCTCACCTACCTCTCCTGTCTCCAGGGTTTCCTTCAGCTCGGTCAACTGCTCTCTGAGCGCATCTCGCTCATTCCTAATGCAGTCAAAGGACTCTTTCTGCCTCTCTAGGGCCTAGGGTGGGGCAGAGCCGCAGGGAAAGAAGAGAGAGTGTGACAGACAGCAGAGGTGCAGACCTCCCAAAGCCCAGCCGAGCGAGGGGACAGAAAGCCAGAGGGATCACCACTCTTAGAAGGACAGGTGCTCATGCATGAGCTCGCTGCTGAGAACATGCTCACACACACTTAAGCACTGAGCATGGACGCTCACCTTCCTCTTCCAGACTATGGATAAACAGGAAGAGGAAGGGGAAGACGGAATTAGATACATAACCCATTAAGTTTTTCTGGTTGACTTAATTAAAAGTCTCAAATTTTTTTGGGGGGGGAGTGAGGTGGGGTGTCGCAAGTCAGATTAAATTGAGGCAGCTAAGTAGTAAAACAGAGAGAGCATAGGCTTGGAGTCAGGAAGACACGAGTTCAAATCCAGCCTCAGACACTTTCTAGCTGTGTGGGCTGTCTCAGCATCCTCATCTATAACATGGGGATAATAACAGCACCTACCTCCCAGGGTTGTTGGGAGGAATATTTGTAAAGTGCTTAGCACAGAGCCTGGTGCATAGCAGGTCCTATATGGTACTTACTGTCATCATTATTTAAAAAATCAAATACACATTTGCTTGATTTAATCAAAAAAGATCACCAAACATCAGTTTGATTAAAGCAACCTAAAAATCTGTTGTTTCTGCTGACGGCTGTCATCCTCCTATGACAGGAGATCACAAACTTCCCCCAGCGACACATGAAACTGGTAGAACTGGAAATGCTCCCACAGGCGGCCCCTGCTCCAACAGGGCCTCTCGTTAGTGGCTTAACTATTTTAACTTGTATTATAGTGACCTGGGCACATGCTCTCCTCCCCTACTAGACTTCAGTTCCTCAAGAGCGGGGCTCTTTTGTTTCTCAGCTGGTCTCCAGTGTTGAGGACATGGCAGCCACGTAGAGGTGTTTGTGGAATTTAATTAACTTTGTCCAATAAAATAAGCAAATCAGTATTAATTTTTCTAATATAACTACAAAATTCATATGAAAAAATTATAAGACCACTGCTTCCCACCAGTTTATAGTGCCTCCCTCGGCAACGCCAAGCTGAGAACAGGCCCCACAGCACGACTAAGCTACTGCAGAATCGTGGCCGGCCCGGCCGCCCTTTTCTGTGGTGCCCGAGAGGGGGTGCCCTGGTGGGGTCCTCACCAGAGCCTCCTGAGGAAGGCAGGGCAGGCCCAAGGAGCCTGGCATCACAGGTAAGAGACAGGCCCAGAGAAGTACCTGGGGCCCACCTTCTGACCCCAAGTGCTGTGTTCTTATCATCACCCACCAAGAAGTTGCCACCCTTGACCTCCCAGCTTTCCTTAAGGCTGATATAAATCTGAAATATTAAAATTCATCCCCTGTGTATAATCAAAACAACCTGAACTCTTTCAAATGCATCTGAGTCCAGCATTCCTGGCAGGGACTCACTCTTACCAAGGAAATTTCTGGCTAAGGGTATCAGCACCAAAAAGCCACATGGGTTGAACCTCTCACCTATGTGAAGTCTCCTGCATCTTTCTCATGAAGGAAGGTTGGAGGATGGCCAAGAGTAAGGCTACCAGACCAGATTTCTTCACTGCCAGCACACTGACAGAAGAAATGGGCCAGTTCCTCAGCTAACAGCTCCATGGCCATTTAGCATCAGCAGAGCACTGGGAGAGATGATGGATGAGGACGCATTCCAGGGCAGTTCTTGTCCTCAGGGAAGCCTTCCTTCTGGCTTTCTCACACATCCAAGCGTTCACCAAAGTAGTCATTAGTGCTCAGAATTACACAAACACTGACACTCTTAAACATCAATAGCCTCCAAATGTGAGTCTGTGAATTTTGGGATGAGGAGAAAGCAGGGTCCCTGAGGGCAAGGCCCACACTCTCTCACGCAAGTCTTCCCAGCGCCTTGCATACAACAGGCACTAAGCAAACTTTTGTTAGTTGGTGACTTGAAGAGGGCACCATCTCAACAGATTTCACAATGATATGCACAAGTAGATTTCCACATCTACTGAAATGTCACCCACAATCCTGGCCTCAGCTGATAATATCTATGTGCTCAGCGTCATGCAGAACATGCAATTCTATAAACAGGACAACGGTGGCTAAGCCAACAACATGCTTTACCGAAACAACTCCTAAACAAAGGCTGTCTTCATGCAGGATTATTCAGGACCAGACCGATATGGAACCAGAAATGGCAGGAAAGCTTTGTCCCACTGGGGTGGGGGGTGTTTGCTTTGGTTTTTTTCTGAATGGACTTTCACTTTCCTCTTCCCATAATTGTAGATGGGAGTATAAAAAGACATCCATGATATCCAAGCATTTCACCAGGAAGTCTGAAATCTCTTAAAATACTTCATGATGGAATCAAGTGAATTGAAACTGCCCTGACACACAGATTACACTGACCATCACCATCACCGACCTAGTATTTGCAAGAAAATAATTGTTTTTTAAATCTGATTATTTTTAAAATACAATCACATACTTCTTGCAGTCTAATCCCCTTTCCCCAACATCAAACTATTATTATAAAGCTGGCAGAAGTCAGCCTGCACAAGGTTTTCTAAAAGGACAGTCAAGCCCTGGAGAAGCCTTCCCACATGGAGGCAAAAACTTTTTCTCAAAGAGCATGACCAAAGCTCTCATTGGGCAGGTAGAGTGGGCGGCCTTCACATGGTTTCTGCAGCACAGAGCCAGGTGAAGGAGGCGGAGGGGAAATCCGAACAGACAGCCAGACCAACACTGAAGTTTGGCCCATGGACAGAAAATGGGCATATTATACTCACTAAGCAACTAAATTCAAAGACTGAAACGATGTCTTGTCAAGGGGATTTATTGCTTCTTTCATGTAAGCAGGACCCCCCCCATGCCCTTCAGCACAAAAATTCCCCTTGGGTTAAGAAAATCCATTAGTTAATCTTGATTGTTAGAGAAGACAGCAGCTTGCCCAGATCACTCTAGTTTAGGAATGCAGGTGCCATGGGTCCTGATTCTGCCGTCACAGTAAAGCTCTCTAACAAAGGGGTCCCTTCTGGACAGGTGCCATGTTAAGACACCAGCAGCCGCAGCCCACGGAAGCGCCAAAACCTGCCTGAGAAAGTTTTCGTTTTCCACTGACTGAATGGTTTAGGTGCCAAGATCCTTTCAGTTCTGACATGGCCCCTGATAAAACTGGGCAGGAAAAAACCTACCTAAATGCTAATAAGTGTCAAAGGTAAAAATCAAACCTTTCAGTTCCTCTTACAGTAAAACTGAGGCTTCAGATCTGCCTTCAGTTGTGAGAAGCCAAAGGATTTACGGGATGTTAAATGCTTCCCATTCTTCTGCCTTGTTTCTTTGTGAATCCTTTGGCCACAAGAGCGCCAGACTCCCCTCTGGGTCTGTATTTAAATGGACAGAGCCACAGCTTGCTTCTCAAGGCCAGGGCCAGCTGGGCCTCCTGCCCTGCCACTCAGGTGGATTATCAGGGGGCTCTGAGCCTGCCTGAAGTGCTATCTGCTAAGTGGTTCTTCTGAATGGAGAGGGGCTCCTTGTGGGGGCAGGGAGAGGGACAGGTCTCCTGATTTCCCCATTGGTTCCCATTCGATGTTGACCAAATATACAGATACGATCACAGTAAACATTGGGGGGGGGGGGCGGTGGAAAAACTAACCCATATCGGTCTGTTCCAAATCAGCGCACTTTCCCCAAAGCCCAATTTCTTCTCATACCCCAATTTTTTTATCTTTCCAAATAAGTGTCTCCTGGAGGTCAAACAACTCTTTGGTTATGGTGTCTACTCTCTGCTGCATGCATCGCTTCTCCTGCAGGGAAAAGAAATAACCAAGAAGCAGAAAGAAAACAGGAGGCGAGTGGATGAGAAAACCAGGGGAGAAAAGGAACCGCCAGGTGATGGAGGGAAAGATGCGCAGAGCAGGGGGGGCTGCCTTGCAGAGGGGAAGGTGGGCGGGCGCCTAAGCCAAGGCGATCCGCCCAAGATCACCCAGCTACTGAAAGGAATGAGATTCGACCCCAGCAAGCTCCAAGCACTGAGCTCCGTCCATTATCACACACTAATTAGTCTGTATGTCTCAAAAAAAGGGCCAGAGGCCCAAGAGCAAAGATGGGCCAAGGCTGTGATCCCATGACTTCTTCAAAACAAAGGAGCCCAGAGAACTGCTGGAACCACACAGCTGTGGCAGGGGGACAGCAGAGCCCCTCACACCCATGCCCCCTCTCCAGGTGTAGTCTCCTGATGCTGGCCTGCATGGCACAGAGGGCTCTAGGATGTCAACTTCCAGAAGGCTGGGCCCTTCTTGAGGAGAGAAAATCAGCAATCAAAGACAGAAGCACAAGGCCTTGTTTTGGACTGTGGAAGGGCCAGACTTCCACGGTCTCCTCTCATCTAGACAGTAAAACAGACCCTTGAATACACTTCCCCACTGACCAGACACTTTCCCACCTTCCTGGAGAACATGGCATGCTATCTTCCTGCGAGTAACACAAATCAGTAAATCAGCAGGAGCCATTACAATCAGTGTTCATTAAGAACCTGAATTCAACGTCCAGGCAAGAAAATGTAAAAATTAGAACGCGGCCCTGTTCTACTCTCCCCACTCCACAGCACAGCCCTTGGTCTTCGGGGGAATTTCTGGGTACCTCCTGCTACCCTCTGCTCACCCACCGGCCTTCTCCCAATGCGTTTGTTTTCTTCTCCTACCTCTCTATGCCACCTGTGCTCCCTACCTGCCTGTACCCACACCTGATCTCCAAGAACAGACCAGAAGAGAAAGATTCAGCTACATTACACTGTCATGATAGGGTGCCCGGGCACGAAGAAAACGATAACTCTATAAAGAAAAAGCCAAAACAAGTGCGGAACTTGTCACAGCTCACACACCTTTCAAGCCACGGGCTTCAAAGGCGCTCTGGACATGACAGAAAGAAGAATGACTTTCTCAGGGTGAGCAGAGTGGGGGGCATCGGCCTGCCATGGCCCCACAGGAAAGTCTCTGAGAGGGGCTTCTGTCTAAGTGGACTAGAGGGAGTAGCCCTCGAGGGGCTACAAGGAAGCAGGCGTCTCAGCAGCAAACACCGTGAACGACCCAGAAAGATGAGTCTGACAGGCAGCCTGAGCATCACGCCAAACTGACAAAGCCACTACTCTCTTTAGGAAAGGAGGGAAAACCAAGAGGAAGGCCAAAAGAAAGCTAACTGAGGAGGAGAAGGAGCCTGCTTCTGGATGAGAACCTTCTTTGTGTCTCCCTTCTGGGCCGAGGCAGGAGTCCAGCCCCGCCCTCCCCGGCCACCGGCCCCGCCCCTACCTCGATGAGCTCGTCCCGCTGCCGCAGCCCCTCCTTCAGCATCTCCATCTTGTGCTGCAGCACAGCGCACAGGTGCTTCTGCCGTTCCAGCTCCTGTGGGCACACAGACACCATCCCGCTCACCCACCTGGGAAAACCACGGACCCGGGGCCACCGCCGCTGTCGGTCCTTTGAATGGTTATGAAACGTTAACGTAGCGGTGACTTAAGCTTCCTGACCCTCAAAGCAGGCTGAGGAATAAGGACACCCCACTGAAATCAACCTGGGAAAAAAGACAACTTGGAGGAGGAGCAGCACAGTGGGTTCCTTCCCCTCACACTTGCTGCTGCTGCTCTGTGCGTGCCCACGTGTGCATGCACGCATGCACAAGGCCCTGGATGTGAAGGTGCTAACAAATGGGGCAAGACCCCCGGAACAAGAAAGCTCAGAATGATGCTGTCTGAAGGGCTATGAATGCAAAGAGAAAATGTCCCCTGCCTGGGCCACTGCTTCTTAGGGGATGACACAGGTCTCCAGGCAAAGTCAGGACTTCCAAATTAGCTTTGGAAAATGGGATTAAATAAAAAGCAGACACTTGCTTTAGTTTAGGACTTAAAACACGTGCTAATTGGACAATGTCTGAGTATTCTTCTCACTTTAAAACTCAAAATGAGGAAGTGAACAATTCTACTGAGGCAAGGGGGCCAGGAGCACAGCTCATCTGTAAAGCCCCAATGTCACTGGGCAGCATAGGATTCATACTCTAGAAGAGGCCTCCCAACAGGATACTACACGACTTTCTCGTGTGTTTTTCCCAAAACACCAACTTTTCCTGCTTCTAATGGCCCAGGACAATTCACTATCCTTAACATTGCGACTGGGCAGCAACGTTGTCCAGCCCGGCAGAAGGAGCCATGGCCCGGAGACTGCCACTCCCAAGCTGGGAAATCCGGGCAAGTCCTTTCCTCTCCTTAAGGCTCAGTTTCCTCATCTGTAAAATAAGGACCATGCCACTTACCCGGCCATGCTCCTGAAGCATTGTGCTCAAAGCATTCAGGACCTCTGAATGCTAGTACTATAAATGTGGGTGACTTATTGTGGCCTGAGGGAGCCACCCTGGCCACACAGAGGGGACTGGGGAACAACCCTTCCATATGTCTCATGAGAGGTCCCTTCAATTCTTTTCAAGAGGAATTTAACAGACACTCAGGGGGACACCCTGCTTCTTTAACACTTAAATGAAAGCAGGCCATGGATTTCCAGCAATGTTAGGTCCACACATGTTGGATTACTTCTCTTCTGTACTTTTTAATCATTCCATTCATAGGTTACAAACTCAGAAATCCAAACCTCTTACCAACCTCCAGCCCCTCATTAGTCTCAGATAATGGTCTCCTCTAACCAAGTGGGATGCTGCTTAGCTCTGTCATCAAACTACCCAGAGGTAAAAAAAAAAAAAAAAAAGAAAAGAAAAGAAAAAAAATAACTAACCACAGAGTTTATAGAAAAAAACTGAATTCATCAGGTCAGGACCCTTAGAATATTGTGGAATGATCCCAGTCGCTGAAAAACCAGGACTAATGATCAAATGGCGCCCTCCGAGGCTTCCAACAATCAGATCAGTGACCCTGGGTCGAGAGGCCAGGGTTAAAAAGCGAGCACGGTAAAGCTCTGGATGCCGGAGCATGAGGTCTTACCTTGGATTTCTCCTCATTCTCACGGTAGAACTCCGCCATCTGCTCTTCCTGTCCCTCCAGCACGTCTTTTAGCGTGTCCACCTGGTAGATCAAATTATTCTTCTCGTTGTCGAGTTGGGCATTGGAAACCATGGCTTTCTTGTATTTCTCCTCCACAGCCGCCAGAGAGTCCTTAGGGGAAGGCAAAAAGGATAGAACTCAAGGCCGGGCAGGGCAGGCTCCTGTGGCCGCCACAGACCCCGGGCTGGGGTGATGGGAAACACCACAAAGATTTGTACAAGACCAACGTTCTTGCAGAAGACAGGCATTTTAGGGGCTCACTCGTTTAGTAACACACACACACACACACACACACACACACACTTCAGTGAAACCTGAAGTCATTCCTGAGGTTTTACAGATAGAAAAATAGCCCTCAACAAGTCAGTAATTGTCTAGGGGGGACCTGTGATGGCCAAAGACAGGGCCATCCTCTTCTAACCACAGGGCAGATTCTGACCTTGTAGGGAGCAATGTGGACATCAGTATGCATGATCTGTAGAATGAAGTGCACTCACATTGCCAGCAGTGTTTATTAACTTCAAAAGTTTTAGTAACAAGCAGGCAGGACTCTCTCATCACGGTAAATTCCTAACTCTCTTGGAATTTGACCTGTATCCTTAATATTTTCTTAAGAATTTTCTGGTATGGATTGCGCGCTGTCTTGAGCAGGGAGGTGGGGAGGGAGAGGGAGAAAAATTTAAAACTTAAAAAGCTTATGGAAGTGATTGCTGATAAATCAAAATAAATTCATTTAAAAAAAGAATTTTCTGGTATGGGCAGTTTTTGGATGAAGAAATTAAAGCCATCTATAGTAATGAAATCACTATTGATTAGAGAAATGCAAATTAGAACAACTCTGAGGTATCACATCACACCTATCAGATTAGCTAACATGACAAAACAGGAAAATGATAAATGCTGGAGAAGATGTGGGAAAATTGAAACACTAATACATTGTTGATGGAGTTGTGAACTGACCCAACCATTTTGGAGAGCAATTTGGAATTATGCCCAAAGGGCTACAAAACCACTTTGACCCAGCAACAGCACTTCTAGGGCTATATCCCAAAGACAGCATAAAAAAATGAAAAGGACCCACATACACAAAAATATTTATAGCAGCTCTTTCTGTGGTGGCAAAGAATTGGAAACTGAGGGGATACCCATCAATGGGGGAATGGCTGAACAAGTTGTGGTATACAAATGTGATGAAATTGTGCCACGAGAAACAATGAGCAGGAGGACTTCAGAAAAACCTGGAAAGATTTATATGAACTGATGCTGAGTGAAGTGAGCAGAATCAGGAGAACGTTGTACACAGTAACAGCAACACTGTGACGTGACCAACTCTGATAGACTTAGTTCTTCTCAGCAATGCAAGGATCTAAGACAACTCCAAAAGACTCTGATAAACTTAGTTCTTCTCAGCAATGCAAGGATCTAAGACAACTCCAAAAGACTCAATGATGGAAAATGCTATCCCCATCCACATCCAGAGAAAGAACTAGGAAGTCTGAATGCAGACTGAAGCATACTATTTTCTCTCTCTCTTTTTTTCCTTTTCTCCTTTCTCATGGTTTATCCCTTTTGTTCCGATTCTTCTTTCACAACACGACTAATGTGGAAATATGTTTAATATGACTGTACATGTATAGTCTATATCAGATTGCATGCCGTCTTGGGGAGGGGGAGGTGGGAAAATTTAGAACTCAAAATCTTATAAAAGTGAATGCCAAAAACTAACAATAAATAAATAAATAAATAAATAAATTGAAAAGGACACAAAAGAATTTTCTGTTATGTTAGTCTCTCTAAATTGTATGACCTTGTCTGCTAATAACTATTTCTAACTGTCAATGAGAAGTTTCTAAATAAATAAGCAATACTAGTAAAAATATGACTTCCTTTAAAATAATGAAAACTTTACATTTAAATCTCTCTGTATCCAAAGTTATACTTCCTGTTTTAGGTAAAATTTTTACTTGGGAGCATTTTTCCTACTAAAGCTAAGGACTAAATAAAGATAACTGATAATATAGCTGAGAATTATACTGCCATCAACAGTAGAAAAATCACAATCTGTCCACAGACAACTTTAAGGGTAAAAAGCCTTCAGATCATGGTCAGGAACCAGTTACTAGAGCAGGGAATAAAACGTATGAGCGCAGGCTGGGCTAGCAAGCACATTCAAAATCAATACCTAAAAAAATGGGGGTCCATGGCAGGTACTACCATAGAATAGAGTTTTCTTCCTGGTGTCCTTTCCTTGATACATCCAAAGGGATATTCTTTATCAAAAGTATAAGAAAAAATGGCTCATTACAACTCAATCTCACCAAAATCTATAAGATGAGGGAGGGAGGAGGTTCCATGCACTCTCAGTACCTGTCTAGGTTCACGATCTCACACCCTACGGGGTCACTTTGCCCCTGCCATACAGAGAGGAGAGAGTGGAGTGCTGTGATATAAACTAATGTGTCATAATAACTCTAATAATAAAGAGAAGGCTATTTCATAATGATGTAAAGACATCTATTCCAATTTCTCTTTAAAATGGTAGCTGGAATATAATGGCTGAGTCTATATCCCAAAGAGATCAAAGAAAGGGGGAAAGGATCTATTTGTACAAAAATATTTATAGCAGCTCTTTCTGTGGTGGCTAAGAACTGGAAATCGAGAGGATGCCCATCAACTGGGGAATGGCTGAACAAGTTGTTGTATATGATTGTGTGGTATATGATTGGAGTTACAATTCATCTTTTCCACCTGGTGATGGAATATCATTGTGCTATAAGAAATGACAAGCGGGATGATTTCAGAAAAACCTGGAAAGACTTATATGAACTGATGCAAAGGGAAATGAATAGAACCAGGAGAATGTTGTACAGAGTAACAGCAATATTGTACAATGAACTCTGAATGACTAATGACCCAAGACAATCCCAAAGGACAAATGATGAAGCATATGATCCACTGCCAGAGAAAGAATTGATACCATCTGAACACAGACCGAAGAATGCCATTCTTCTCTTTCTTTCTTTTTCCAGTCTTCTTGACTTACATGAAAGTGTTTTACATGATTGCATATGTAGAAACTATAGTGGATCGCTTACCATCTCAGCAAGAGGAGAAGAAAGAGAAGGAGGGAGGAAACTCAAAACTTTTTTCAAAAAATGTTTAAAAATTGTTTTAACATATAATTGAGAAAAAACAAAATATATTTAAAAAACAAATGACAGCTAGAGGACTGATTTTTCTTTCTTTCTTACTTATGATGTTACAGGGATACAGACATTTCTAGCCAGTTCTGATTGTTTCAAGTTTACGTAACGGCCCAGTTACTGTCAACTTTTAATTAATGCATCTGCAGCTCAGTTCTGAGTCGTCCCCATCTGATGTTCCCACACACACCTCAGAAGTGCGTCTGAGTCTGAGTGCTGCTTCTAATTCTTCCATCGATGTGTTCCATGCTCTCTGTGCTTGCTCAGTATTCTTCCGGGCACTTGACTCTGAAGTTAAATCCAGATACTAGCGTATCTGCGTACAGCCATACGTAATGTACAGCATACAGCACTCTGTGCCAGCACTTTGTCCACATGCTGGCAGAGACATAAGAGAGGCAGGAAGGTAGGAGGTTAGAGGCCACCGGGCAAGGCTGAAGTCACAAGGGCTGAGACCAGGCTGGTGTCAGAAGAACTAGCGAGGAAGGAATATGACAGAGGTTGAAGGAGTAACAGAAAGATCTGGAGGAATAACTGAATGGAGGGAGGGGAATGAAGGAAGGAAACTGTGAGCCTGGGCAGTATGAGGAGAATGGCAGCACCATTAAAAGAAACTCAGGTGAGAAGGGAGAACAAGTCTGGGGTTGGGAAAGAGATGAGGAGTTTGCTTTTAACATTCATTCTGTTCATTTCCAGATGTTGCTGGGCCAAGCTCAACTAGAGAAATGTCACCACAGCGGCACGTGCGTGCATGCACGCACACACACCCCACAGAGCCTGGCAGAGTGGATGGAGCACTGCACTTCCGAGTCCAGAAGATGGCTTTGAATCCTGCCTCTGATGCTGACTAGCTGTGTGGCAACAGAAAGATCACTCATACCACCTCCTCTCATGGGGTGGTTGTCAGGCTTAAATGAGAATGTACGTAGGACCCTCAGCAAACTTGAAAGTGCCTCAGCGCTTCTGTGGCAGTTCTTATTAAACGTCCAGCAAGCAGCTAAGAGCATCTGACGGGAACGCTAGAAAGAGCTAATGCCTGGAGACATTAATATGGCAACCATCAACTTGGAATTTATAAAGCTATCATACTTGGAGATCAGTAAAGTGGAGCTGGTAAAGAGAGAAACACAATGACAAACCTGGGGGTAAGAACCATAGTCCGGAAGGAGAGGAAGGAGAGGAAGAAGAGGATGAGAGGAGAGGAGCAGTCACAACTAGGAAGACCATGATGATGACACAGTCTAGCCTAAGTTGAAGGGAGAGCCAGATAATCTCTGGACACAAGTGTCAACATGACTAATGTGGAAATATGTTTAATATAATTGTACATGTAGAACCTATATCAGATTGCTTGCCATCTTGAGGCGGTGAGGGAGAGAGAAAAAATTTGAACTCCAAATCTTATAAAAGAGAATGTTGAAAACTATCTTTTCGTGTAATTGGAAAAAATAAAATACTATTAAGTAAGACACGTGTCAAACTGGGATGACTTTGGCTGTTCTGGGAAGTTCAGGGGTCAATAAAGGCACTCCACCATTTCCAGATCCCTGCACGTGTGTCCCGCTTGTCCAGGACACGCTTATGAGGTATCCATTCAGACCTACGCAGAAATCTGGACAGCAGGTAGGTTTCACCTAATGGGTCTTTCCTATGTAGACAGACAAGCCAACCTTTGAGTGCTGGCAATCAACAATGTCATCCACAAAGAGGACCTTCGGGAGAACATCACCACCCAAAGGGAGTCCTTCCTCACTCTAGGCGAGGGACATCACAGTGGCAAAGACCTCTGGTAAGCACACCATTATGTCCTGCCTGGTGTTTATTAGCCCACTGAACAGGGTTACGTCTGCTGTTACATCCCTTCTGTGTGTGTATAGACGAGGTCGACGATGACTTTATATAAATGGG